GAAGGAAGGAAGGAAGGAAGGAAGGAAGGAAGGAAGGAAGGAAGGAAGGAAGGAAGGAAGGAAGGAAGGAAGGAAGGAAGGAAGGAAGGAAGGAAGGAAGGAAGGAAGGAAGGAAGGAAGGAAGGAAGGAAGGAAGGAGAAGTGGAAGAAAGGAAGGAAATTTGGAAGGAAGTTTGGAAGGAAGGAAGTTTGGAAGGAAGAAAAGAAGGAAAAGTGGAAGTTTGGAAGGAAGGAATGAAGGAAGTAAAGAAGGAAGAAATTAAGGAAATTTGGTAGGAAGGAAGGAAGTGTAGATGAACAGATGCTGGGATATATTCATCATTTAACGCGGGTTCCTCATTTTTCTGGACTGAATAAAACGTGCATTGAATTTAAGGAAATGCAAAGTGAGACGTCATTTATATTTGACCCATCAAAATGAATGCGGTCATTTATTTACAGAATCAAATTTAACATCAAACATTTACATTAATTTGGCAAATTATGAAAATAACAATATAAGCAATCAATCAGGAAAAATCATACGGCCATGATTTTTCCGTTGCTGACATTTATAAAACTGTACAACTATGATCTTTTACCCACACGGATGTGAATAAGCACTTTACACAGACATTTCTAAATATCTGGGAGAATTTCTACTTGATAGAAAGTTAAAGATGAAAGAAGTTAAAGGGAGTAAGATTGAATGGGAGGGGAGGAATGTTCACCAGAACCGACACTCTCCATCAGAAGCCCAGCTCGCCTCGGTACGCTTGGTAGGAAACTTGACCCATTACCTTTCTGATGATAATCAGCAGATATGGTGTTCCGTTAACGCTACCGGTCCAGCGTCTCCTTAGAATGGCTGTAGCTCGTCAGAAGTAGTGGCGAGGCTCTGTTCGACACACATTCACCTCAGTGGAAAATGTTATAATCCCATGGAACTCGGAAGAGCTTTGTTGTCATGTCAGGAACTCCAACAGCACTCCATCAGAACTTTAGCTCTCGTGTAGTTTACCGAACTCCCACAGAACTCTTGAAGTCTGACAACTCTCCAACTCTCCAACTCTGTAACCCCGTGAGTCTGTGTAGACCAGGAAGTACTGACATTTTAAAGACTCTTTCCCGGTTCACTTTTTGGGATTTTTCATTGGTCAGAAACGACCAGATGGGGTAGGTTTTGTGACGTAAGAGGTTAGAGACAGCGAGAATTGTTATGGGACAGCTCGGAAATGTTCTCACAGACCGAGAGGGTTTTGTTGTGGCGTGTTTAAGAAACAGGTGCAAAACATCTCTATTTACGTCTGAGAGGATTCTAAAACATGACAGTTTTAACATAACAACTTGTTTTTCGTTTGACTGTAACCTTGTAAACGCACACACTTGCTCATTCAAAAGCAGAAATCAGAAAATGCATAAACTCTGCACAGCTTTTAACATGAGAATAAAAATCATTACTCAGTTAATAAAATTGATTAGTTCACTGCAACATCTAAAATGGTTTGAACTAAGACACTTTGATTATCAACATTTGTAAGATAGTAATGATAATAAAAAGAGAGTGTTCTTTTCACTTGAATCTTCAAGAAAGAAAGTCTCAGGATGGGTGAACCTGTATTTATGGATTCAAATACATGAAATGACAGCTTCTGTCCCACAAGGTTCTAAAGGTCAAGAGTTTTGACCTTAGACTTAGTTTCGACGTAGGCCTAGTCCACTACAGAAGGAAGGAAGGAATGAAGGAAGGAAGGAAGGAAACTAGTTTGGAAGGAAGGAAATTAGGAAGGAAGAAAGTTTGGAAAGGAAGGAAGGAAGGAAGTTTGGAAGGAAGAAAAGAAGGAAAAGTGGACGTTTGGAAGGAAGATTGGAAGAAAGAAAAGAAGGAAGTTTGGATGGAAGGAAATTTGGAAGGATGGAAGAAAGGAGTTAAGTTTTGAAGGAAGAAAGTTTGGAAGGAAGAAATTAAGGACATTTGGTAGGAAGGAAGGAAGAAAATTAGGAAGGAAGAAAGTTTGGAAAGAAGGAAGGAAGTTTGGAAGGAAGAAAAGAAGGAAAAGTGGATGTTTGGAAGGACGATTGGAAGAAAGAAAAGAAGGAAGTTTGGATGGAAGAAATTTGGAAGGATGGAAGAAAGGAGGAAAGTTTTGAAGGAAGGAATAAAGTATGGAAGGAAGAAATTAAGGAAATTTGGTTATAAGGAAGGAAGGAGAAAAAGTTTGGAAGGAAGGAAGGAAATTTAGAAGGAAGGAAGAAAAGAGGGAAGTTTGGAAGAAAGAAGTTCGGAAAGAAGGAAGTTTGGAAGGAAGATGTTCAGAAAGAAGGAAGTTTGGAAGGATGTAAGTTTGGAAGGAAGGAAGAAAAGAGGGAAGTTTGGAAGGAAGGAAG